GGGGGGGGGGGGGAGAAAGGCTATTTCTGAAAATACCCATCAAAGCCCATCTTGTTTTTGTTCCTGTTGAGTTGAAAAGGACCGAAGGTGCTTTCCATTGCTGAGTCCCCCGCCCAGCCCTGTGTAGATAAGGGAGAAGTTCTACTTTTTCCTAGCAGCTGATGGAAACTGCTTGCCTATGCCATTAAGCTGACATCAAAGTCCTGCCTGGGCAAGTTCATCTTGGCATCTCCTTATGAGGATGACTCTTCCCTTCTGGGAGGAAACAGAGTGACTTAAGTAACCCTGGAAGGAGAGCTGTTAGTGCTGATTGCCTCAAGAAGACCACCAACGACAGATGGTCTGGAAGGAAATGAGAGGATCCAGACCTGGTTAGAAATTAAATGGATCATGTGCAAATCGTTAAGCTCTGTATGTAAATGAAGAATGGGCTCCAAGGCCACAGGAGAGGTGGTCTTTGGTCTTTTCCTTCTGCAGTCCCGCTGGGAGCCAGCATTGTAGATTCAGTGGCCCTGTGTGGTTTATTGCACTTGAGTATTCAAAACATGGGGGGTGGGGGCACAGCTGGAACCACCTTCCTCTCCCAGAACCCTCAGGACCCTCGCTGCCTGTCACCCCACCCTCATTATATCTCTCCCGCTCAACAGGGCAACGAAGAGCAGTTCCTCACCTGGGAAAAGGCTCGGCCAGGGTGTGGCCCATAAGAACTTCTCCAAGTGGCTCTGGAATACATTCTAGGCTATGGTAGCTGGCTGGGCTCTAATTTTATTCTAGGTAACAACTCAGAACTAAATTTTTGACGAATTCTTTGGAAGTAGAATACAGCAGTAAACGTGGACTTCACAGTCCAATGGGAGAAGGAAGCAAATCCCAGTTATGCTATCGACTAGCTATGTAATGTTGGGAAAATACTTAATAGCACTAGACCTAAGATGGGATAGTGATGCCTGCTCTCATAGGGTGCTCGTAGGATTAATTGGAACAAAGTATGCCAAATGCTCAGTGCAATATTTGACCATAGATATACTCAATACATGGCAGCTACCATCACTTTTTAGTCTTTGGATTTGCTTTCAGCATGAACCCTTGCTGTTTCCTCATGAGGCACCTGTTCATCTCGGGTTGGAGCCTGGTCTGTATCCTCTCATTCAGTGGGGAGTGAGCCTGAGTCACAGCACAGAACTGATCCCTGACAGAATACACCTTCCCAAACAGTCACTGCTCAGTGGAAAGCATCTCCTTTAGCTTATAATGATTCTAACCAATTTATCACTCTTTTTAGATCAAGATAAAATCTTAGTTTTGTTGCTTAGCTTTGCCAGGTGTGTATTTGGGTGTAAGATAAAGCCACTGTGAGTATCTCTTTAAAGCTCAGGCAATTGCCCAAACCAAACAGCAAGTCTGACTTTAAGGCTATTTTGATCCCTTCAGAATACTCATGAAAACACTGAAAAAAGGGAAACAAATAAAAGGTCAACTCACAAAGTCTCTAGGCTGTGGAGCCCATCAAAGCATTTCTTTCCCAGAGAGTGGATTCTATTGTTATGGAGATGCCTGCAGGGGAACATTACAGTCAGGAAGGCACCCTGCACAGAGAAACTTAGGCACAACATTCTGATGCTTAAATCCAAAGAAACATATACTAAACAATGCACTAATTATATACAAGAAATGCTTTGTTTAATTTTTTAAAAAAAGGCTTCATATATACCCCATTCACTCTTACCATAGATGATTCCTTTTTAATTTTTTAATTTTTATGTTTTTATTGATTTCAGAGAGAGGAAGGGAGAGGGAGAGAGAGCTAGAAACATCCATGATGAGAGAGTGTCATTGATTGGCTGGCTCCTGCACGCCCCATACTGGGGATTGAGCCTGTAGCCCAGGCATGTGCCCTGACTGGGAATGAAGCTGTGATCTCCTGATTCATGGATCGACGCTCAACCACTGAGCCATGCTGGCTGGGCACCACAGATGATTCTATACCATAGAATTTAATAAGCAGTCACAGTTTTACTTTCTGGGTTTGAAATATCGGGGAGTGTCTCATAATATGAGCAACATGATTGATAAAAATAAATTCAGATTGTTTAGTGTAGTTGCTCAGCATATTTTCCCACATGGGTTATTTAGCATGGCTTTGGGATGTGGAGTGATAAGCAGAGATACTGACCGTCATTGAAAACGCAGGATGGAGGAAAGGTCCTAGGGTACTAAGCACATTTTCTTATTGAAGCTGATGGCTTATAATGGCTACATTCCCAGGGTAGGGCCACAGGTTAACAGAAAACAGCAATTTCAACTACAGAAAAAGGTGATCATATTTTTTGGCTGCCCAAGGAGATTAGTTATCTTGACGCAGGATTAGTGTGTATAATTATCACCTTTGGCTCAATGGTGATTCAGTGAGGTCAAAGTCAGTGAGAGCAACTGTGTGCATAACTGAAAACTGGACCAAGTCCCAAAGAGATTTTTGGAAAATTAGTTTAAGGAAGAGAGCATGAAAAAGAAGAGCTGGATCTCTCTAAATGCATTCTCTCTAGTGCAGCAATTCTCAACCGGTGTGCCGCAAGAATTTTTAAAACATGCCACACCTGACTCTTTAGTCAGGGGCACTGACCTCTTTTCCCTTAGACTGTCAAATAAGAAAACGACAACAGCCAGCACGACAACAGCCATTTGGGGTGAATGAATCAAAATCATAACTATCTTTTTGTCGATTGACGAAAAAAGTTGAAAATCGCTGCTCTAGTGGAAGACAAATTAAAGCTATCCAACTTCTGGTATGTCCATAGCATCGTCTTTGTAAGTGAAATTCAGTTTAGAAATTTGTTAATATCACCAAAAATTTGTTATTTTTTCAGACTAATCTTCTTATTCTAATAAATATACTTTGGGTTCATGTGGGATCTATATAATATTTATTGGAGGATCTTCTACATGCAACACATGGGGAAAAAGGTTGAGAGGAACCTAAAAAAGTGGATAAATGCTGGCCAGCTCTCACAGTAGCACACAGCACAGTGCAAGAGACAGACATGCAGCCAGGTAAAGCAGGATGATTGGAGGCTGCGGTGGGCGGGTGGGAAGCGAAGGGAGAAATGGTGCAGAAGAGGCCTTGGTCAAAGTTCCTCCAGGAACTGATCTTACAACCTTGCAAGCAGCTGCTATTTTCCTGTATCAGCATCGACTGACATATTATACACGTGGGCCATATTGCTACACTCTTATAGAACACTGATTATTTTTCAAACTACTACCTGAGAATCATTTGGATTTACTAAAATAATGAAACCTAGACCTATGGGGGTGGGGGAACCATTTACATACATAGCTCACTGTTGGGGTCACCCTTGCTTCTCTTTCCTTGGTAGGGGTTCAAGAAGTATTTATTAAGTAATAAGAAAGGCATATTTCAATTTGACCTGAATTATGAGTGATTATCAGAAAAAAGGCATTTTTACTAACTTCGGTCACTGAACTTATTGTGATTACTTGTACAATACACAATGGGCAGAGGTCATATTTTATTACCTTTGAAAGTCCAGCAGTGTTTGGCTCTTAGCAGGTGGTCCATAAATGTTGTTTCATTGTTTTATACAATTAGAACACTTCTGAGTTGTTCTGGGGAGGGATTCAGGGAGTTTTCCACCCTTAAAATGTCCCTATTCAAGGTTTGAAGGGCCAGCACTTTAAGGTCAAGGTCTTACAGTGAATTTAGAAATTGTTAAAAGGGAGAGAGAGAGAGGAAAAAAAAAAAAAATCAATAGAACTTACAGAACTACCAGGCTGGAGAGGTTTCCAAAGGCATAGTCTGGTATGTGGTGTATTTTGTTCAGGGCCAAGGTCATGGCCTGCAGTGCCGATAAACTTCTGAAAGCCTGCACAGGGATTTCCGTCAGAGCGTTGTCATCCAGCCACAGGTGCCTGAGGGAATGCAGGCCACTGAAGCAGCTGGGGGGGACGTAGCTGATGTGGTTGGCATCCAGCCGCCTGGGGAAGAGAGCAAGCAGGAATGGAAAAGAGCAAAGCCCAGGCAAACGTGGGCCTTGCAAGAAAACCCTCCATGTGCTGATTAACATGAGTCAGACAGGGCTCGGGGCCCTCATGATCCGCCGATGTCTGGAGAATTTTGCTCTCTTGGTGGGCTCTTTCTTGCTCAAGGGGAGAGCGACTGCTTCTCAGGTCCCCATGGTGTAAAATTCCACGCTGTGCTTGCCTTTCAGGCTGTGGAGAGCAAGCTTTCACGCACGGAAGTTGCCTCCCCTCAGGTATAATGATCCAGGTGAGGATCTTTTAGTTTTCCTTNAAGCTAAATACAGGCCTTTGTATTTCCCGGACTGTTTGAACATACTGAATATACACTAATCCACTAGTTTGTTTATTAAGCTCTGGGAAAAGATTGTTTCAGTGTTTGAAAGGAATGGAGTAATTTTTAAAGGCTGTTCCAGGCCGGAGAGCCTAAAAACTGCTGGCTTTCTTGCCCATCCTAACCACTGGCATTGGGCAGATATTTGCTTTTCCTGACATTTTAACTGAATAATAAAGTTAACAGCATTCCCAGCTTTTGCTTCCTTTTTCCACACACCATTTTTTTTTTTTTTTTTAAATGGGAAAAGACGTCTAAATATAGATCTGGTTAATGAGCTGTTACAACTTTAGAGCCAGCAGAGGGAGTGCAATGCATTTATTTCCCCCTAATCCAACACAAATAGCAACTGTAATTACAATGTCCTAACTTCTTGTTGAAGTGACCAGACAGATAAATAATTAACATTGTCAGGTGCATGAACGATAGAACCACCTTCACTCAGCTCTGCTTCCAACAGCCTCACTCATTTCTTTCTGTTCTGAAGGCTCACACATTTGTTTGCATTTTCCAAAGCTGGGATTAAAAAAGAAGAAGAGCTGCGTTTTAAGCAGCCCATGTATTAAGAAGGATTAGAAAATCACGAGTGGATTTTGAAAAATATTTTAGGAAGCATTTAAGACTAAACAGATGTCGGAAGCACACCAGGATCAGGAAATAATCCCCCGCACACCAAATTTAAACAGTTTAGAAATGGACAGAATTCTCTGTGGTAGGGAGCAATGGCAAGGGCCTCCTCACTTTTGGTCACCATGTCACTTCACTCGTCCTCTGGCTGCTATTTCTGACTGAATGGGAACAAGTGATGTCTTCAAGGCCGTGGGCTGAGTTTTGATAGTAATGGAGAGAAGGTCACTTGGACAAATTTTATGAGTTTGGTGTCACAGCCCACTCACGGTTAAATTTCCCATGGAGCAACTGTTACTGTAGGCAGCAGAAGCCCAGCTTCCAAATATCTCAAGGGTCTGTCAACGGATGGAGCTGGGAATGTTTAGGAAAACCCAACACCATCTCTTCCCCTTTCTCCAGCAACAACATGCTCAGGCCGTGTTCAAATAAGGTGTAATTTCATCAGGGGGTGATGAGGGGACTGTTATTGTTCAACTAGACATAAAGCACATATGTAAACTCTCCTTAATGACTGTGCTGATTAAAGGATGAAGACTTTATTTAAATAGTATGAGCTTCCGCGTTTTAGTTGACATGCTGTCTGATTATTGCCAGTCGCTTAGGCATCGAAATGACTAGTGGCTTCCAAGAGTCCTGAAAATGAGGACACTTAAGGTTGAGTGCAAACCTTGGGCTACACTTGTAGAAAAGGCTCTCTCAGCATTGAGTCATAGGCTTGTCTCCTTTGATATTAAAGATACTCCCGAAGTTTCTGCTGGATCTTGAAGTGACCCTCGATCACTTTCCAATGTTAATAAGTCCATTTCTCTGGATAGGTATCTTTTATGAATTACTTTTCTCCCCCCAGAACAAAGATGTAATCTGACCTCTACACTGTAATCTTAGAGCAATTTGCTGTCTGACATGAAATGACTAAGACAGGGCAATTCTTCACAGTCCTAACACTCCGAGTACTAATACTCTCAGATCCGATACTCGGGTATTCCGAGTGCCACACTAAAACGTTTCTTTACCCAAACAGTTTCATATAAGAAGCTCCCAATATATGATACTCCTTCTAAATACAGTGTTTTGAAGTCCATGTCCACCTGGCCTCAGTGGTTCAAGTCTAATTCAGAGTATCGTATATTGTTCACATTGAGAGGCAGTCTCTGATTTAATCTTAACAGGAGATCCCCAGGCTGAACTAGCGCATGGAATTAATTATCCAGCCAGTCATACAGGTGGTTCTTACAGAACAAGGTTAAGACTGTGGACAAAGCAGCTGGCAGGGCACAACTTGTGTCTATTCTGTGAGCAAACAAAGAGCTCATATTATATCAGTCTGCTCTTTTGGGGCAGCTGGACATTTTCTATTCATATGCTTGGAAAATGCAATATTTAAGCAGTGGGGTATAAGAAAAACAACACTAGACAGAACATGAAAACACATAAAAATGTGGTTCTATAACATTATCAGAAGCAGCAAAATAATTATATTGTATAGCTCCATTTTAAGTGTTTCTTTGTTAGTATTTCTATTTCATGTAAGTCACAATGTGTGTGTGTGTGTGTGTGTGTAGGCAGCTCTGAATCTGTGACTTAGTGCAGAGATTTGGGATAAGAAATCTTGGGTCCAAGTCAGTATTGTAACTTTGTGAACATGTCCAGGTCAATAGACTCAGCTTTTGCAACTGTAAAATGGGGACGACACCTCTCTGTCTTATAGAGTTGCTTACGATTAAAGAAAATAATACAATGGAACTTTGTAAACTATAATGCACCTTAATGATCTTCAATTATTATAACTTGAAGCTGGTTAACAGTTTGTGTTTTTGTCTTTGGACCATCAATTCAGAAAACAAAAAGGTAAACTCAAATTTTGCCTTAGTCAAAAGTCAGTTAAATTCTAGGTTGTCAGAGAATTTTGAAGTCGTCAGAGAAATGCAGACAACTTTCATCTCTCATAACAGAAATAATTAAGAGGTTCTGTAGTTATACTTAAGAGAAGCCACCTTTATTTTTCAGCCTTCAGTATAGTATTGTCATTACGAGTGTGTGTGTGTGTTTACTCCTGATACATTACTGAATATATCATCTTCTTTCTAAAGGCAAAGGAGAAGTGGTGACACGCGATACAGGTCACATTCTCATAGACAGTTCCTAGCAGTGACGTTGGCATTTAAGCATCTGTCCATCAATAATGTGATAAGGCAGCACAAAACCCGCCCGCAGTTAGATGCTGCCTGCGGAATAAAACACCTGAACAAGGGGTGGCTGTGGAAGGACCGCTCTGATCGCAGCGTGGAGGGGGAACTGGTGGGAAGGGGCCAAGGCAGCGGCAGTGATCAGGGTGAAAGAAGGACAGCCATGGAGGGGAAAGCGATATGACGGATGCTAAGTAAGTGAGCCCGGCAGAACGTGGGACTCGCCAGATGCGGCCAGAGGAGGCAAGGGAGCTCTGATCACTCCATGTTCCATCCTGGGCAGCTGGGTGGGTGGAGCCCATGTGAGAGCAGGGATGAATGTTACCCAGTGTTAGATAAACTAAAAATAAAACAGAACTGCATGTTCGCTGTGAATGTAGTTCTTTAATATCAATGCATCCTATGTGATAAAGAGCTAGGAAGGTAACAAGCAAAGAAAAAAAAAGTCTTTAATATCAGGAATGAAAAAAAAAAAAAAAAAAGTAATCACTCTCTTACCTTTTGTCTGAAATTTATGCATAAAAGATGAATTGTACAAATTTTCTTTTTAAAAAGAAATATTTTGACAATCTGCTCCACACCCCTGAAAGGAATTTTTTATTTCTCAATGGTATTATTGTAGGGATTAGAGAACCTATGACCTCATTCTTGCTATTGTTGTTCCAGAAAAATAGTCCTTTACATGTATCTTTCATACGATACTTTGCCAATGTTTCACACAAATGCATGTCTTTGTTTGAGAATGTCTTTGATGAGCCATTAACTACAAGAAAGAAAGAGTTAGTCAAAAGATAAGCCATTTATCTTGGCTAAATTCTTATCTGAGGTGACTGTAATAATGTCAATTATTAACATGGATGACTTGAGAAAAAAAAGCCAAGGTGTGAAGAATGTTGCAGCTGCCGGTATAATAGCATAGGAAGGTTCTTTCAATAAATGTGGGTTCTTTTCTATTATGAATCATGGAATCTTCATGACTGACATTTTTATATTTGGATGAGCATTTCTCTTCATAAGTTTAAAAGAAATGACCAATTCTCTTGTATATACATACGTACACTTGGTGAATAATTCATGAATAGTCAAAAGACCACAGTGATTTAGTTCAGTTATAAAATCTTAAAAAATAAAAGCACTTTCGATGATTATCTTACTTTTGCAACGAAATGAAATCGTGTAGTTCCAAGCTTGTGTTTAATACAATTTGACACTTCCAGTCAAGACGGAGGCATAGGGAACACAGCCTCCCACAGCCGCATCAACATTACAGCTAACCTACAGAACCACCATTCAGAGCCGCCCGAACCGGGCTGAACGGCATCTCACACCCCGGGAACTAAGGAGGCCACGTCGAGCGGGGACGCAGACTGGGCTGCTCACACCCCCCCACGGGCTGGATAGAAGTCCGGAGGGATATCTCGGCTGCAGAGGTCCCCTCTGAGGAGTGAGGGGTGCCAGCTCCCCACCAGGCCCCTGCTCAGGGTTCCAGTGCCAGGAAGAGAAGTCCCCACAACTTCTGGCTGTAAAACCCGACGGGGACTGAGGCTGAGGGAGGCTGAGGGCTGCTGGAGTCCCAGGTGTTCTTCTTAAAGGGCCAGCACATGGGCTTACGTGGACTCCCTCCCTCTGAGGTCTAGCACTGGGGCAGTAGCTTGAAAGGCACTGGAGACATATGGGGAAGAACCAAATTGTCTGGCATCAGAGCGAGAGC